ACTAAACATAAATTTAGCTCAAAATGTTACGACAATAATGTTCAGTACTCATTAGCCCTTTACGAGAATATGCTGATACTGTGTACAATGGCTGTTAGCCTGAAAACTCTTATATTAGATAACAAAATTACAATTAAAAGCATAGAGAAGTGAGACTGGTCTAATTAGAAACGTAGGAAACTGATTAGCCTACCTTGGTATATAGACGAAAACTTTTATAAATTGTGTTACTTGTTAACTGTTGATCCCTTCGTTTAAAAGCAAATTACACAAACTTTCAAACACTTGTAATTCGACTTATCTTCAGATTGAAAGCATCAAATTTGTAAATTTATCCACTGAAGCGCTGATATAATACATCTCCTAGAGACATTTTCATTGTAGTTTGGTATAGGAAGCACGAATACAAACACAATAGTACTAATCTAATACACTCTTGATATTTTCCATAAGACCTACTTTGCAAACTCTTCTATTGTGAACGAATTTTCAAATAGTCCTGAAAGTTATATACTAGGTCCAAATTATAAAGTTCCAATTGAATTATATTGTTATTCCAAATAAATTTCTGATACCGAATCTATTGATGTACCTTTAGTCTCGAACGTATTAATATGCCAGTGGCACAAAGTGTGTCCGTGTGCTTTTGGCTTTTTGATGCATCACAATGATATAATCCATAATTTTCTTGTCTGAATTCACTATAATTACAAATAAATGGTTTAGTCCAAGGATATTATTGAGCACTTTGTAATTCCAGTGAAGCGTAATTTGAATAAATCAGTCCTTCCAAAGTAAACACTTAACACAACAATAAGACGTTCGACTCTACTTCGGATATTAAGGCCAGAACTAGCAATTTTTCAAGTAAATAACATTATATGAAAAGCTAAGACACAATACTAAAGCCAGGATTTGTGTCTGTCTCCTTAATAAAACAAAGTTGTCAAAAAAGTTTAGGAATTTCCAAGTGAAAAACGTAATGCACTAGACTCCGAATAAACATGTTTATCTCTATTGATAATGATTTGAATAGTTAATTTATAATCTTAGGGAAATATTATATATTTATTATTTTGTTTCAAAAATGTCACTTATCAGCTACATTATTAACTGGATTAGACAAGGTCATGTAAAAAATACAGATTTAAATAGCATATAATCAGTGAGTAGAGCCAACCAACAATACCAATTAAATATATACATACCACGTGCAACGTATCTATAGACTAACAAGCTGTAATGGTGCTGATTCATTAATCAACGATCGACAAATGTTTTCAAAGCTGATAAATATCACAGTCTCAAGAGAGAAACAGAGGAAGGAAAGGAAGAATAGATAAAGACTTGTTTAGAACAATATTTTGACGCGAGCAGCGAAAGAGATATGAAATAAAATAATTCCCTAAGACGAATGGAGTAACATTTAAAACTTAAAAATAAAAGACCACGACCTATCAAGATAATAACAACTGACTACTTTTTCAAAATGGATACATACATACATACATACATACATACATACATACATACATACATACATACATACATACATACATACATACATACATACATACATACATACATATATATATAAATATATACATATATATATATATATATATATATTTATATAAATATATATATATATATATATATATATATATATATATATATATATATATATATATCCCAAAGTAGATCGCAGCCAGAGATCGATGCTGTATGAAAAACAAACATTAATACGTAGAAGAGTAAAGGGAATTATAATGGTTTTCTTCTTAACTGTGACGTGTTAATGAGGAGAATTTTACTATGCTCATTTGAAATGCAATTGTTATGCTTGTCGTATATATCCTTATTTAACCCATTCTAGGTGTGATGTTACAATCCACATCATTAGCAAAACTGCTTTGCAATTTTGTAACATAAATTACGGTACCCTCATTCTGCGCTACTCTTTAAAACTCTTTTGTCGACTGACCCGTTATTTTTGTTTCCACATTTTTCCTTTGGTTCAACTGCAAATGTGATACGCTTTTTTAGATTGAAATGGCTGACAGACTGTGTGTGAGAATGACTGATTAAACGATAAGTAGTTGAGTGGTTCGCAAATAGACTGTTGCCAGGACTTTTTAATACGTCTAGAAACTATGCTATCTACTACGGGAGATAATGTACGTCTCAATAATACAGCCATATATTATAAAGTATGGAATCAGTAACACAGCCAAGGTAATGCAATTTTAAAACATGCAGGTAAGCTTACTTCGTTTACAATGTTATGTTCTCGATACATGGGGCCATGTAGGTTCTAAGGGTGTGATTTGGCTTGAAGAAAGTACTATCGGGCATTCAAATGTGTCGAATTAGATTACAAATAACGAGGGCTTACGTGAGCGCTATTTTAACTCCTTCCATAATACGTCACTTCGATCATTTTATCGACTTGGGGTTCTAACACGTGATACTCTTTAATGAGACCATTAAATTCTTATCAAGTCTATTGTGTGAGTTATCTATGCTGATAACTAATTCATTTAAGATTCGCATCTTTTTGTGATATCGTATTGTTTGAGTGTTCAAAAATTCTAATTGGTGTCCTAAATATAATTCATTAAGATCTAAGTGCTATTAAAATACTGCATTACTCATTAGAGGCAAAAATGAATAAATATGCTTACCTTTATAAAATCATTACTTTCCAGACTTAAGGCGACAGGTACACAAAAAACGGAAAGTCTCAATTCGTGGGCTTTCCTTTGAACTGTAATGTTTTGCTCCTTCACCCCCTTGATATCCTATAGAGCTACAAATCTGCAGTCATAAGTAGTCGTTATCTAAACGATACAACAATGCTCATTCTTGGAAATGCTCGTTTGGTCTTGTCTAAACTTCCTGGATATGCCCCGGCCAGTTGCGAACTTTATACTAACTTGTAATGTAAATCTATGTAAATTACATTGACGTTTGGAGATTTGATTCCTTAATATGACCTAAGTCACCTGCGTGATTCACTACAAATATTGATTCGAAGACGTGTCGCATGAAATAAGATCTTGCATGTCTATTTATATTTTTTGTTTCTTACTTTTGCGTCGTTTGGGTCACATCCTCACAGTATACAGACCGTTCCGGTGGTCTTGTGGTTTAAGCGTCCGCCTCTGATGCAGGAGGTCGCGTATTCGAATCCCCAGCCGAGTCATAGTAAATAATTACAAAATGGTACTAACAGTTACCTCGCTTGGCGCTCAGCATTAAGAGGTTAGTATTATGACTGGTCGGCCTGGTGTCAGGATAATGTAATATACTACATGTCTGCATCATGATGCCCCTGTGCTAGACATCACTATGAACTGCCACACTGCAGACATTGTAGCGATATGACTGAAAAATTGTTGAAGCTACGTTAACAATCCATATATCACACATGCACACAAACACACACACACACACACAAACACACACACAAAGGATACAGTGTTTGTTTAAAAGCTTTATTGACAATTATAAAACAACATTTTATACAACTTTGAATTTCTATTGAAATTTGATCTATAGTGTGAAGGTTAAAAATTGAATAGGAACATCATCTTCTGCTACACTTTTAAAACCTTGTCCCCGGCTAACACGTTAAATGTTCACCATAATCATTTTGTCAAACCGTGAAATGGCTGATTGAATGTGTGAGTGAGAGAATGACTGAGTAAAAGGTAAGTCGTCTAGAAGGAAGTAAATAAACCATTAGCATGTTTAAACAAACTACGCTATTTGTTGTGGACATAAAATACGGGAACAATAACAGCAATTTTATTAAATCTTAAAGCAGATGCAGACACGTTTACTATACAACAACACACATATTACTATCTAAAACTACACACAAAGTTACGATCCAACACTGCAAAAATCATTACTATCCAACACCACACATATATTTTAAAAAGCAAATACTTTAATAACACCAACCACATCATTACTATTCAACATTACAAACATAGCAAATATACTACTGAAACAATCATCAATAAACAGTTCACTTGCAACTACGTTTACAGATAATTTAGAGTTGTAATAACATTGAAATCAGTAATTGTTAAAATAAGCAGAGTAAATTAGCTACAGGGAAAAGGAAAATAAATGAGATGCAAGTAATTGTTGTGTTCTGTAACAAATAAGTAGTACCGCTCCGGTGGCCAATGTACTCAGAGCGTACCCCTCAGGTGCATGAGTCCGCGTGTTCAAACCCAGGCCAAATCATGACAAAGACTTATAAAACTGGTACTAGCAGCTGCCCTGCTTGGTGTTCAGCACGAAGAGGTTAGTTTTATGACTGGTAGGCCTGGTGTCAGAATAATGTGACTGGGTGGGACATGATGCTACATGGTTGCGTCATGATGCCTCAGTGCTAGACATCACTATAAACTGCCACACTGCAGACATCATAGCGATATGACTGAAACATTGTTAAAGCTACGTTAAAATCATAATCACATAAAAATTGGCAGGCGCTGCCGGAATCCGATGTTAGTTACTTCATGTAGATAAATCCAGACCATAATCTTGAAATTACGTCGAATCGACGAAAATACTAAAACGTATTCATTCCAGATCAAATGGCAAAGTTGTCGCAATACTCATTCATTAACACACTTTCTCCAAATTTAAATTCTAAGCAGACCAAACACCATTTTCTTTCTAAACTTACGTCTAGCACGTGAACAACTTCAAATCTGACTGACGGATTTACGTGCCTTTAATAATGTTGTTATGTAATGATGCAGCTACGCTTGTTTATTTAGTTTGGAATACTTTGTTTCCGAAGTGTACTTTTGTTTATATATTTAATCCTTGGGTTGAATAAGAAAATGAGCATATAATAATAATGTCCCACCCAGTCACTTGATCCTGACTCCAAGTCGACCAGTCCTAACACTAACCCCTTAATGCTGAGCGTCAAGCGAGGCAGCTGTTAGTACCATTTTTGTAAGTCTTTAGTATGACTCAGCCGGGGATCGAACCCACGACATCCCGCATCCGTGACGGACGCTCTAACCACTAGGCCACCGGAGCCAATTTTACCGTATTGAAGTGTGTTGACATCGGCGTGTTTTTTTATGTTTTCTGTCATTGAATTATTCAGAAAATAATGTGGGGAAAATATGAAGTCTTTCAATTGCAATTATCGAGGGGCAACGATATGCCGAGTTGTCTAAATCGCTCTCCGTTACGGATCACTTCCATCTCACCTCTGTCTGCGTGGGTTCGAGTCTAAGATTCGGCAATGTGGATATATGATAAAGCTTGCCAGTAGCTTCTCGAGGGTAGGTGGTTCTTTCCGTGGATTGCCCGGTTTCTTCTTCCACCAAAAATACTGACTGCCATGTATAGCCTATTATGTGCTGAAAATGGCGTTAAGCACAACAATAATAATAACAACGGCAATTATCGAAAGAAAAAAAAACTGGAATTTTATATTCATTTCATTTTGAGTGCAGTAAGGATGGAGTAATTGTACTTGGAATGTCATAGAAATTACAATACCATTTCGAAATGTGTAATCAACCTCAAGAACCCATGACATAACTCATGTAATTTGGATTTTGCAGAACTAAGAAAGTACATTTTGAAGAAATTCAAGATGTAACATTGTAGGTATATCTTTGTCATTTCTATTATTAACTAAAAAAGACCGTTTTATGTCTTATAACTTGCATGTTACTGTAAGGACCCTCTCTGGCGTCTATAGCTAGATTAAATCTGAAACTTTGTATCAAAAATGTTCACGCGGAATGTGCCAAAGCTGCTGATATGATGTAGTTCATGAAACATTTGCTTTAAGTCATTGAGATTTTTTTAATATTTTTTTATAATAGAAAGTAGTTTCTTTATTCTCGTGCATTTAGTATGAGTTCAGCGCGAGGGTGCAATATCAGGAATGCTGAACGATTCTGACAATGTAACGTTAGCAAAGAAAACAAAACGAGCATATAATAATTGTTTATTATTAAGCATTAGGTAGGAAAACAAACTGAGTATGTAATGAAAACGTTGCTGCATTTTTATGGGGAAATATGAAATCTTTTGTGTTCGGACTAATATTGCCCTCCCAAGGTCAGGCAGTACTACTTTCAATTTTTTTTCCCATACAAATGCAGTAACCTATAGATCCTAACTTCCTATTCAGGGTATATTTCTCATACTTATTTCTTGCAGTTGTAGCAAATGCTAACAGCCTCTTTGAAGTTGACACATTTACAACGCCATCAAATTTATCAACATGGTCACAAATCAATCTCCGTGCAATCAATGATTTCTTTTCCATATTTTCAACTTATAATTATTTGCTAGCAGATCATCTTCTCTCCACTTTGGCTAAATCATGAGAGCGCACAAAAAAGCTTGGCTACTTGTAACAGTTTTGAATATCTTCCTTCAAACAGAATCACTAAGTCGAATGTATTTAAATTGTCTTTGTTTGATAAGAGGTTACGAACCTATCAGAAACTGTCTGGCTTGCTACAAATTGACTATAGTGATCAATGAACAAGTCACATTTGTCTTTTATATATCTTGCCTAATCGTGATAAACTGGCAAGTACGTTCTTAAATATACACTCTTTGGGATTAAAACCATTTCCCCGGAAATTAATGTTGATACATTTTCTTACCCGTGAGAACAAGGGGATGTTTTGCACGAATGCAAAAAGTTTCTTGGTCGAATTCACAAGTAAATTCATGTATTCCATTTAAAACATCATAAATTGCATTGTGTTTCTTTCATTATATTTCCATTTCATAGCTCCACTTCACTTTTATTGTTTACTGTAACTAACTCTAAATTAATTTTGTTACCTAAGTACATTTGTTGCTTGAACGTTTAACTATAGATATGATAGGACGGAACTTCAAACAACACCGGATTCTTTGATCTTGCTTAACTCTGTGGTCGAGCGCCAGAAAGGTAAAGCGTTAGTCTGACACGATTTTTTATTTGCATCAATCACAGGCTTGTCGATAGTAATTTATTAGTTACTTGAAGACAGGCTTTGCATTGAGTGGTATATGATAATCATTCTTGTGGGAAACTAATGACCAGAGTGACTACTTCACTAACTAGGTCGTAGCTTACAGTATAAATATCTAGACATGTAGACGGTGGGTGTGCCTTTGTTGCGAAATGAGTGTTACTATATTAATACATTGATGGTAGAGTTGTTCTGGACATATAACTAATATTTGTCCTATTTTTAAAAAATCATCAAGCTTTATAAATTTCATCAACACCTTGTTTAACATTTGATATATCACTGGCCAGAAAGCAAAGCATTTTGACTTATCTCTTTAGTAAACAGCCAAAAATGGTTTCAGGCGACCAGCAAGCAATCTGAAAAATTATATCTGCTAGGGTCAACTGGACTTTTACTGCGCTCATCATAGAGCGTCTGCTCGAATGCGAGAGGTCGTGGGTTCGATCCCCGGCCGATTCATACCAAAGACTTATAAAAATGGTACTAACAGCTGCTTTGCTTGGTACTCCGCATTAAGAGGTTATTGTTAGGACTGGTCGGCCTGGTGTCAGGATAATGTGAATGTGTGGGACATTATGCTAGATGTCTTCGGCATGATGCCCCAGTGCTAGACATCACTATAAACTGCCGCACTGGAGATATCGTAGCGATATGACTGCAACATTCTTAAAGCTCCGTTACAAATTCAAATCACACACACATATATACAAACACACACTTAGTATATCACGAAATTTGTTTCATGGCTTGGAGACCCTAATCGATTGAACTGCGACAACATATTTTACTATATATGGTGTAACGTTGGCTCCTATGGGTATTTTTGCTAATATCTTAGAACGTACAAGTTAAAAATTTTAAATGTCACGTTTGCTCAGCCCAGCTACCAAGTCGTGTATAAACTATGGTATTATTACTACCAATGTGTAAACCGTGACCGCCAGCCAGAAGATATATCGTACCAACTAGACAAAGCTTGTAGTATTCACACCTAGGTATTACATATTTGTTCAGAAATCAAAGAAAGCCCGGGGAGTGAACGGAGCGTGTTTCGCATCCGTCCCCACGTGGGTAGATAGCAAGAGGACATTATCCGCTAAGTTTGATTAGATCGGTTTCTCAGAAACATCCAATCGGAATTAAGACACAAGGTGTGATTACAATTTAGATCCGAATTATAACTTTGTACCTCGCAAGCAAAACGTTAAATGGAAGAAAGCTTCGAAAGGGTCAGTAAGATTTCATCTCTATTTTCTCAAAATATTACGGTATTTTAATAGTATTTATCTGTAGTGTTATACTTAATTACTGGAATTTTTTAGTATGTGGAATTACCTTAGTAGTGTGTCATTTACATACGTATTTGGGAAACGGGCTTGAGTTTTACGTAGAGATTTATATAGATTGTTAGCTTGTGGTTAGAATTAATTTTGTAATTCGCTATTAGAGTACTTCGTAGTAAACAAGTACAATTAGTAGATAGAATTTACACATGCTTGGATTGTGATTTTTAGAAAATGATTGAAGTATGTAAGATTAGTTACAATAGATGTATGGATATATCAGAGTATGGATATTTTGACTAATTTAATACTTTGTATGAGTTTAATGTAAAGAATGCGTCTGATTATCGTTATATTGTTTAGCATTTGGATTAGGAGTTGTACTGATGCGAAGTAACTGAAAACATGCTTTTGTTATGACGTTCTTTTACCATACAAGAATGTATGAGTATTTCGATATGAATGAATGCAGGACCGAAAAAAAATTAATAGCCATTATCTGATGATAGAATGGGTGTAGTGTGAGATGAGAGGGATAAGGAAAAATATTGTATCGTCCTTGTGTTTGCACAGAAAACTTTATTGTGGACACCTTCTGGTTCAGTTGAGTCCCTAGGCGTCAAGCGGTGGAGGCGGAAATAAGACTAAGTCGGAGGAGTCGGAGTCGATCAAGGTCTAGTCGATGGAGAGAAAAGGTGGATAGAAGGTGGAGGAGGAGAAAAGGTAATCTGGAGGAGAAGATGGAAAATGAGTATAAAGACGTCGAGGAGGAGGAGGAGTATGGAGAAGTCTGGGAGGAGAAAGAGACATTTGGAGGAAGTCGGGAGGAATAGGAGAAAAAGAGTACACATATGAGTAAAATACAAAGACAGGTGGAAATCGATCTCAAACTACTAATCAAGTGATGCAATAGGCTATTAAAGTTTTATGCGGAAGGAGTGTAATTAGAAATTTGAAACATTTGGCTATTGAACTGCCTTTAATTGTTATTCATTTAATTTTATCCTTTTTGTAAATTTAATCGTTAGCCATATTGCTGACCGGGATGGAGCTGTTCAATTAATTCAACATCCAACCAAATTACGAGCCAAGGTAGGACTTCTACAATAGCCCAATCCCCCACCACCAAATCATCAGAGTGGAGGCATCCTTCACAAAATAGATGAATATAGAGTACCGAGCCCCCAATCAGTAATGCTGACAGTCTAGGTGAATAATATACAGAAAATAAAATGTGAGGAAGAACAATTTAATAACAGATCTAGATATTCAAACAAAAGAAGAAAATTTCCACATCTTCTCCACTCAGTCGTCCTATTTAATCTGCCACTTTCTTCATCTGATGTGCAAGGTGAGAATGTTTCCACCTGTCCCTGCTATTTTGCTATCTGTATTATTTATTTTTCCTTGACTGGTACTATAGTACTCCTTTACGTCCCTCGACTACGTTCTTCACCCTGCCACTTCTTCCACTTCCGTTCTCTCTTCTGCCCTCAGTTATTCTATCCGGTCCCGTGACCTATTTAACAACTTCCCCCTGCTTCGTCACGTTTGGGTGGCATTCGGTCCAATACGAACAACTCCAAACAGCACCGAGAGCTTCTCTGTGCATAGTAAGAGATGTATAATCTAGTTTCCATTTCGACCAAGACAATCTCGCACCCTCACACAACCTTTTGTCAGCATAACGGCGATAAAAATCATTAGGTCACGCATACATTCACATCGAAATATTTCATATACGCTTGTACGATAAAATA